CAATGTTAAGCTTGGCCTACCATTTTATTGGAGGGATGAGGAACAGGTGGGGCTTTTCAAGCCCCACCTGTTCAAAGTGGGGAATGACAGAAACAGTTTGAGAACCACTGACCTAGACTAAGGAATATAACAGGCTTGTGAAATCACCTCATTCTCACTTGTTTTTAAAGTCTGTGGGATGCTTGTTGGCGCCCACAGCAGAGCACTGTGTCTTGGCCTGTTGAGACGGACTATAAGGCAAGATAATGCGGGGGACTATTAGTGACTCTCAGGTTTCTCTCTGATACCATGTGGGACAGTTGTCTTCTGTCTGGAGCGCACTGTGTTATAGCCAGAGTCTCCAAAACCCTGCAGCCTCTCCTCACATCAAAGTGGAGGTTACTGCCGCTGGGCCAGTCTGTCCCCGGGTAGTCCTGACCCAGCATGTCTAGCCTGCCGTCATCCGTCATGGCTTCTGTTTTTTTCCATCTTTCCCCTACATTGAACTTGTGAATCAATCTAGCTCCGCTCCTGTTAACGAAAAGGTCTATGAATAATACTAGGAGCACTCTGTTGAACTGTTATGATATATGTTATATATGCATTCTATCATTAAAATGATTGCTCGAACATTAGCACCATCATTTCAGTTAACAGCATTTGGCAGAGGTTAAAAGACCCCCATTTAAAACACCCAAGAAATCCTTTCTGTTATACAACCACTTACTGGAAATGTCAGTAAGACCAATCGCTTTTTCCACCTATCTGCTTCACCACATTAGCAGCTTTCTATTTTTGCTACAGTCCTCTTCAACATCATAGGGTGATCTGTCTGTCGACCATAAGTTTATAATGCTGAAAACATCTGAGCCTCAGTCTGGCCCGTCCTCGTGCTGTTTTATGCAGCTCTTTCACGCTAACACAGCCTGATCTCAGGTCACACAGGTCACAGTATATGAGCAGACATCTGGCCCGGCAAACTGTTCTCAGCATAACCATAGGGAATCAGAGAAGTCAGTTTTATCGGAGTGAAAAATAATCAAAAAAGCGGAGGGACGTTGTAGCAATCTTCACAGCCAGAGGAACCTTTTTCCCCCTTTATCCATGCCCAAACCTACTCCACCACCCGGGCTATCCCAGGTCTGGTAGGATTGTGGTGCTGGTGAAACCCAACCTGACTTCAGATCAAGCTCTGGCAGCCTGTCGTGTCACAAGCACCGAAAGTTTATCACTTCCCCTCTGCTCCCATCTTGTATCCCTCTTCCCTGAACTTTATTTTCCTACCTACAAAGTTCTGGCTTTATTGGCCTCCTCCTGCCATGCTCAAAAACGTTTCCCTTTTATCATTGATTCAATCTGTCAGTAAGTCTCAGTTCTAAGACATCAAGCTTTCATAACAAGCAGATTTTGGAACCATTATCTATTCTTGGTTACACTCTTTTACGCTGAAAAAAGGTTTGATGACTAAAGTCACGAGTGGCAGCATTTGCCATGTTGGTCCATTTAGGTCGGTAAAGTGCCCTTAACCTCATGTACCAATGCAATGGAGTTCCACCATCTTTATGATCCCGCTCATTAAAATTAATTGTCTGGCAGTTAAAAATAGATTTCCCCTTTATGTTGCCTTCTGGATTGTCTCCTGCACTTCAGATCTCACATGAGAAATTGCTGAACCTTTATCCTTTCCCCTTTTGCGATTCACTTTTCTTTTTTTTTCTTCAATCATATGTTTTGTCTCTTTTCTCTTTTGACAAAGCACTTGGCATTCCTTAAAGGAGGCATGAGCAGAACGAAGCTCTCACTGTAGCAATCAATCCAAACACACAACATCGCACATCACTTTCACATGTTTAAACTGTTTGTACTTGGTGAAAATGGTACAATTTCAAATATTACTATATAATTGATATAATTGAAGTTAACTACCTGTCGCAGTTTAGGTCATTACTTCTTTGTATGGAGTGTTAATTTATGTCGATAAATATGATGATTTCATGTCAGCCTTATTAGACTCTACATTTTGAGTCATCAAAAAGTGCCACTGAGGTATACCCTTTATTTAATAGGGCCTATTTTGTTTTTAAGAGATCTCCTAAAAAGCCTAGCCTGCCCCTTTTTTATTTTTTATTTTTAAAGTAAACCCATCAAGCCTCTGCCTTTTGATCAAACCCACCTACCTCTTTCCCATAGGCGGTTTCTTTTTTTTTAACATCAGCATTAATGAGCCTCACCTCAACATCTCGTCCTCTGTGAGGTGACAGCCCGTCTTGTTGGTGCCCGGTTCGAGCCCATTACCACGGGGTCTGGGAGCGGACACGGCTTTGTAAGACCCTCAAACGCCGCGCTCCTGTCCATAAAAATACAAAGAATGGGGCTCAGGCGTCGTACTCCGCCCTCATTTACCTTTTTGACTTCTTTGTGGAGGCCTAGCATTTGTACTTTTATAGGCAGTCGAGGTCAGGTGGGCGAGGTCTTCTGGATTATTTCCCCCAGCGTGCTTCTCTAGTTCACAGAAGCACCAACCTGCCCTCGCCTTCACCCTCACCTGTGCAGCTCTGGGCCTGTAAAGCACAAACACAAGGAGAGTAGGAAAGGAAAGGGAACTCTTGATGAACTCACAGATCTCATCACCTCTTGAGTATACTGTATTGCCACTAGTTTTCGCTGATGATTGAAGGAGATGCTCCCAGCGATGTGTTTTACAGAAGCCCCGGGATTTTCTTTGCATCTTCTGTCTGCTGAGTTTACGATTCGCATGGCTGACTCCAAGGCCGAGTGACTCTGCCAGAGCCATGGAGGCTACTTTGTGCTCTTTTTCAGCCAACCAGTATATCTTCTTATTCACAGAGGCCTTGTTAACAGAAACTAGAGCTTTTTTGTCTGCACAAATCCTCTAAATCAGAAGATTCAACCAGGACTGACTGAAGTCTTGAGTCTTGTTTTTCCACTGTTGGTTGCTGTGGAGAGCAGCTTCCTAGCCAGGGGCCTGTCAGTACCCCTGTTGCCACTAGTTCTTCTGGTCCTCCCTATTATCTCCCTCTCCCCTGGCCTTGCTGTTTGGTCCTTGGCTTTTATGGCAGGGTAGCAGAGGGCCATGAGGAAATGAGGTGACCCCGGGTCACAGAGGGGAGTCAGGGGGTTGGAACTGGACCACGGCCCTGCCAACTCCACTCTCTCAGGACTGGTCCGGGTCGAGCAGGCAGAGCACAGGAGACAGGGAAAGGCTGTGGACAGGGTCCCTTCCATCCTTGACCCCAGCATCATATGCCTTTCATTAAGCCTGATTTGAATATGTTTACAAGCCCCAGTAGTCTTAAATCTTCCAGGTCTTTGCCCCCCCTCCGTACCCCTTATACCACCATCCCCTCATACCTCAAGTCCTTCTTTTTCTTCTTCTCTTTAATATGGTGTCAGACATCTATTTATTATGCTGTTTTAACTGGTTTTTAGGAACGGGTTACAAGCTATTTGGGAATCCACCAAATAGGATTTGAGGGACACCCCTCTAAGATGTTAATCTGTTAGCGATATGAAAGGCCGCTCACCCCACTAAACTCCCCCTCCACTGGAACCTGGGGGCCCTTTATGGCCCCATCAGGCACCCGCATGGACGACTTACTGCTGACCTAATGACCTTGCAGTTGAAGCCATATGAGGAAAGAATCTTTCTCTTGTCCCGTTACCTCTTTCTCTCTTCATTCTGCTTCTGTTTCTACCCTCTGAGCCCTTTTCTTTCACAGGGAAATTATTCAAAAGTATCAAGTAATTGTATCATCTTTTGAACTATTCTTTAGTTTATTGTGTTTTTTTAACTGCTCCAATATTTGGCTCTCTGTGATCTGATCAGAGTTTAACATGATTTGTTGGAGTTTTGTCTTGGCCATGTGGCAGTATATAATGAGCTCTCTTCTTATCGTCTCAATACCTGAAACCCTTTATCTCTAACAGGTAGCATTTTATACTCATTCTTTCAACCCCAACTGGTCTCTCGTGTAAAAGATGTACACACATCTCACCAGCCTTTATTAGAAGGGTACCAGCGTGTTTGCTATACAACAAAAATTCCTTCGACTGGCCCCATCATATTAAACATTTACATGTAACTGAAGAGCTGTTACAATTGGCTTACTAGCATGTAAGTAGCTGAAAAGCTTGCTGCAAAAGGCCTGGTCGTTGGTAGTTGGGTGACTAATTGGATCGGTTGGGTTAAATAAATGTTTGAGTTCTCCCCTGCGCTGGGGGGACCTGGTGGCAGGAGCCTCTCATCTTAGCAAAACAGGGATGAAAGGGAGAAGAGGGGGAAATAAGCAGGGAAATTAGCTCATTTATGATGAGATCAGATTGGTTCTGAGTGTATTTCACACACGGGTGTCACAATGTAAACTATACTCACAAGGAGGATAAAGAACATTTAAAGATTGAGAACAAAGTTACTAGCTGCTGTAATATTTACAGTGTGGACGCTTTAATCAGGGGGTCCGCGGGGTCTTAAAAGGTATTAAAAGTTGATAAATCAATTTAACGAAAATGAAGGCTATTAAAAAGTATTAAACGGCATTTTCCAAGTTATTAAATGTTGTAGCTTGTTTTCAATAAGTATATAAATGGTCCAAAGAGGTTGTATTCTACAGTGTGCCTGAATGTAATCATTGCGTAGGTGTGTAGTGTGATTCTGTGTAGTTTATTTATGGCATCCCGTTGGATTTGACGTCATCTGAACAGGACATCGCACGCTCACTGCTTGATAGCGCGAAGGTCCGTTTACGCCGGTTGTTAAACAACATCGTTATGGGGAAATGCAAGTTTGCGTCCAAATGGTTGGAAGATAAGGAGGAAGGACAATCAATACTGTATATAGTAAATGTGAGGTAAAGTGTGTCGCCAATGTAACCGGTTAAAACTCCAAGTGGCGACGGGTCTTAAAATGTTTGGAAAGGGTCTTAAAAAAGGTCTTAAAAGGTATTCAATTTGACTTCAGGATTCCTGCATATACCCTGTTAATGAGAACGTTATCATTGCAGGTTCCAGATCCAAAGGGGAAACAGCGACCCAAACAGCTACAAGAATTTGACTGATTGCTTCCGGACCATCTTCCGCAACGAGGGGTAAGTTATTGAAAATCAGTTATTTCAAACTTCCAAACAAAATAATGTTTCGTTAGAGCACCGATGATGTCAGACATTCATTTAGATGAGTGGAAAAGCAGACATTTCTCAGTCTTCACTCGGATGGCTTAGATTAAGGTGCCCTTTGTTTGATCTTATATTTCAATTTGAAATACTATAGTAACCTCTATGCAGCAATTCATTCAAATTCATCCACATGCCTAATTTTTTTAATACAATTAGTGATACTGTAAAAAAAGGACTTTAAGTGGTCAAGCTGTGGCTGTAGCTTTGTCCAAAACCACAAACAATCATGTAGAAATGTGCATAAGCCTTTTATAAATGGACTAATACATCTGTTTAACCTGTATTTGTTGATAATGTAGGTCTACATAAAGTAGAATAATCCTTTGTGTCATCAAAATAATCTGCTGAGGAAAAGCTCTAGGTAGGAAATACATGTGTAGTGAAATATTGTGATAGATGCTTTTATTCAAATGCCACTACAGGGAACTTGGCAAGATGTTCTACTGGCATCACAGCTGAAAGTGTTACAGGTTTGGTTTTTAGAAGAGCCGTTTCGTCTGTCAACGGCCCACGTCAACATCCTGCAGCAGTGAACGCATCTCGTCACTCCTTTTGTCTCACAACGGAGAAGAGAGCAGCTGTTGTTGGCTTAAAACCGTACAAATTTTTCCAGCTAACTAAAGACAGTTATCCCGCCATGCTCCCTCCTCCTGCTCCTGCTCCTGTGACAGGACTGTGAGACAATGCAGGTGAAGGAGAAAGTGTTTGCCACTCGCTCTGTTTACGGCGAGTCGACAGCTTTACAGCGGATATAAAGTTGATCTGCTGCGAGGTGTGCGTGAGTGCACGGTGAGAGGCTGCCTAGTGACAGTTGGAAAACCTTCATTGGCTGTAGTTCAACAGACACAGCTATCCTGCTACGGGAGCTGTGCCCCCCCCACACACACACACACACACACACACACACACACACACACACACACACACACACACACACACACACACACACACACACACACACACACACACACACACACTGTCTCACAGTGTAAAATGTAGTGCCCTTGTGCCAGCATGCTTTTTGGGCGTGTCATATGGGAGTCATTTCCAGTACATTCTCTAACAATAACAATTTTTTGTCAGATAACACAGCATCAAATATGACAGTTATTTGACAGAAGTCCCACTTTACAAAGCTATGTGCCAGAGACTCAACAGACAGAAGATCCACTTTCTTGTCGAACAATTATCACGGAAAGTATATTTTTGCTGAAGCTGTAATCACTCCCCAGTAGCCCATTGTGGATTTCCTCCAGGCAAAACCACTTAGTTATAGTTTATATAAATAGTATTAAACCCCACTGTTGTAGAATTATTATTAAAAATAAACACTTCCCGTCAGCTCGTGGCACGACTGGGCTAATTCCAGGCCTCACTCTCTCTCTGAGGTGATGAGGAAGGAAACCTGAGCTCTCTGCTCGAGCTCTGTGATTAAGCTGGAGGAAAGGCATGGAAATGTGCATGTGACACCATGTTTGACACAAAAACTGAGGATTTCACTTTTGTATTGGATTGTTTTATACTTGTTATTAAGCAACCTTTATAATAGTTTGGATCATTTCAGTTGAAAACTCAAAATATAAATTAAGTTATAATTATTAAATCTGTGAAATATAGCATGCAATCCTGAAGCTGTGCTCATAGGTGTGTGACAGTGTGAACTATGCTCACCAATTGGTTGGTGTATCGTCTTACAGGCCACGCTTCTTTTTTTGCATGTGGGTGCAGCAGCATAAGCATGTGTTAATTATTTCCGTCTGGAGGGAAACAAAAAGACTCTATTCTCCAGCATTATTCACCAGTGTGGTATCCAGAGACTGGGTCTGGACCCTAAGCACGGCCACAGGAATATTTAAAGGGTCCATGCATTACAGCAGAGCACGTAGGCCCAGCGTTCAGTGGAGCAATGACGAGTTCCTGAAAACAACAGCGCAGGGTGGAGCAGTTATATTTTATGTAGTTGATTCAGATCAAGATATGTGAATTATTATGACTCTTAATGTCTGCCACCTGTCCTGTGAAATGTTATCAGCTGTTATTTATCACATTATATCTGATGTCTCATTTATCTAAAGTGACACGGCTTGGCCCTTTTTAAATGTATTTGTTTCTCCAATTTCTTGTATTTTCGTTTTGCACTAAATTATTAGTATAATGAGAAAATACTCTTCTCAATTTTGAAGTTTCTTCATTCATAGGAGCATACAAAATAGAATCACTCATGTTGTTTTTTTAATGATCAGAAAATTGTTATATTGGAATAAATTACAATATTGAGAGATATTAGCATACAGTATTCTGATTATATCTCTCATTCCTAATAGCAGTAAAGAAGCGCCTTCAAATCATAAATCTCCAATTCCCGTATCCATATAGGAAACTTAATTACATTTATTTCTTACTTTTCTGAGCTCATATTAGATGAGGATTAATGCTTATTTTAACCTCCATGATATTAATTTTACATTTCTATAATGCATTGAATAGTGACATGTGTCCTTTGTGCTTTTACCTTGTGAATCTTGGCTGCTGCTAATTGTACTTCATTGTCCCATTTATGTGACAACGTCAAGGTTACACTAGACGCTGGGAAAGTGAAAATATTTGCAGATGAAGCATGCCGGTTGTTGACATGTTAAAACATTCCCCAGGGCAGCTCATATTTCCCAACAACAATGGTGTGAACATGAAGAAGTCTACTGATGGAAATGATGTCGCTTTATGTGTTTACACATTTAAACGGCTCAGAAGTCAATATGTTTTGCTTGATGAATATGTTTGGCCAGTTAATTGAATCCATTGTGTCTGTGTACTCCTGCTACACACCTCTCCAGATGGATGGAGGCTGTTAAAAAAGGAAAGGTTTATGAAAATGAAAGACAAGTGTGTACAACCACACACCTAGACACACATATCCATCCCCCCCCCCCCTTCCCTCGCTCTGTGTCAGGAGGCCATTTGTTTAGGAAAGCCAAAAGGGGACTTAGTGTGTATTTTACATTGGAAATCAAATCAGGATTCAAATGATGGGCACTCACTAAAGGCCATATTTGTTCTGTAACAAATTTCACTCCTCCTTCATCACCTGGCGGTTCCCCATTCTGACCACACCCGGGAAATCTGTGGCCACCATTTGCATAGAAAAAGAGAGCAGAGGGAAGGGTCTTCCGTCCGACTGAAATAACTTGTTTACTGATACAATACAAGGTTTCCATTTTGGCCTCGAGGCGCGATTCTCGCTGTCCATTACATTACATGTCATTTTGTTAGACGCTTTTATCCAAAGCGACTTACATACATTCAGTACTGTGGACAATCCCCACAGGAGCAATTTGGGGTGAAGTGTCTTGCCCGTCCATAATTCCCTGCTCCAGTATTATGATGATGGCTTTATTACCAAGAGCCGGTAGCACTTGTGTACATTCAGGTGTTGATGAAAGAGGTTGGCTCTGTCACCCGATCACAAGTGTTTTGATAATTTGAAGTGCTGCTGTTTCTGGAAAGCCGCCTCGCTGCTGTGGATTCTGTGCACTGTGTAAAGACCAGTTCTTCTCCTCTGGGTAGATTCGGTTGAAATTTGAGCCGGCAGCACAAATATTTACACTTGGGCCAAATCAACCAAGATCGTCTGTGTTGGCACAACAGAGCTGGTGGCGCTTGTTCACAAGATACAGTCGTTCACGCCATGTTGTCCTCTTTGTCCACAGAGCTGTGTTCACTATCAATATTAACTCTTTTACTTTCGCTCTCTATCCTGCATCTGGCCAGAAGCCATCTGGAAAGTTACATGTGTGTTTTTTTCCATCCTTTTTTTAACTTTATTGTTATGACTAAAAATATAAGGCTGGTGATATTCTTTATTTTTGTTAATGTCAATACCTCTTTTTTGCCAATCTCTCAATACTTTACGACTTCCTTCATAGTCTGTCCCATTCCTAGTTAACTCAGGCATCTTTTATCAGCTATTCAGAAGGTCTATAATACAGAACAAAGCTTAACTAATTCCTCAATGATTTTTAGCAATCAAAGTTTAAACAGGAGTCTTTGTTGTGGAATCATTTCTGCTGCGGATTAGACACATTTGCTAAACTAAAGTGTTCATCGAAATTAAGGTACATATAACCAAGTGGCTCATTTGTGCGTTTTAATCGTTTTTGAACAACAATTGAGCTCTATGGCACATATTAATAAGCTATGGCTTTGGCACACGGATACTTTTTTTAGGTCTTTACGTCTGACCGCTTCTGACTTCAAACGTTTTATTTCTGACAAAGCAACAGGTTTGTAGGTGGTAGTTAGAATCCTTGCTCTCGCAGCACAGTAGGAACAAAATGGACAAAAACTCACTGTTAAACATGCTTCAAAACAGCACTGGCAGTGACATTATGTTTTTATAATGTTTCATGTTCATTTTGTCAGGTATACCCTATATTGTGTATTGTGTAATATATTCATGACATATTCCTACTGGTCGGTTGGTTAGTCATGTATAGAAGTTAAAAGATTAGACCAGTTTGACCTGTTTCCCTTTGAGGCAATCCCACATTTAGGAATGAGAGAAGTAGTCTGTTGTCTGGGTTGATCATCACAACATCTAATGACTAATTAGGCACGACAGCTTTTATTGTTGCCCACTTGTGTCATAGATAGGTGGGGTTTAGGAAAAGCTTTCATCAAACATGTTAATCTATTGTATAATTTGTCTTTATAAAATCATTTGATTGACAACTAGTCTGACATCATCTGCCTCGCCCTGTAACTTCACAAGCTATAAAAAGTGAACTATTGAACCCATGTTTTCACTAAATTGAAGAGCAGGGAAAACGCACATGCATGCACTTCTGAATGTATACGAAACATGCTTTGTGCCTTCTTTGCAAAACAGAAAACACACTATCTTCTTTCATGTTTTCATCAAATACATCATTTTTGAGAACGGGAAACCATAACTCTTCCAATGATTAACACAGCAAAATAAAATACTCTTTGATATAGAACAAATAGGTTTAAATATTTGGTTTTAGATTAATTAATTGTAGATGAATTATATAGTTTAACTCTAGAGAAACACCATTAGGACATGTGTGTATATTTAAGAAATATCCAATCACATTATTGTGTTTTAAACTAAGGAATTGAAAAATAAATCAAACCAACAACCTAACCAGACTGGACATTTGCTCTGTAAATATACTCCACAAAATGGATTGCTTTCAAAATACAGTGTAAACTGTAGGCATATATCTATATATGCATGACTCAGTGTATCATTTTATTATTTTTCCTGCCGCCAAGTACGCTTTAAATCATGGCAGGACATATGATTGAGGATAGGCAAACTATCAAATTGACTAAAATTATACGGCTAGTCTCTTCTGAAACATTGGGTATATCAAGGTCTGAAATAAACTCAAATAATTTCCTGCGGATTCCAGGGGAACTTGTATGCCAGGGTTTGTGGTTTTAAATATATGTTGGTACTTATGTTGCCAAGCAGCAGCAATATACTTTCCGTTTCCATTTTCTGAGCTCGGTATATGTCCCGCAGTCCATATTCAGAATGGACATAGTTTTGAATGTGATAAATATATACATATAAATAATAAGAAGGTAGGATGTATCATGTCATGCACACAGGATGCCCAATAAACAGACAACTCTCCACATAGATAATTATATTCATTAGGGTGAACTCCCCTTTAATGCACTGCTGTAACCAATGTTATCATTGCATTTTAATTAGGTTTGTGTAGATTCACTTGAAAAATCTGCACATTACCTGAAAGCTCAAAAAAGTTCTGAAACATAACTAACACTAGCATGGTTTTTTTTCCAAAATGTTCAGCTGTAATGTAAAGGATAATATACATTTGTAGTTAATGGGATAACAAAATGTAAAACAACGGGTATGGTTCTGTAAGGCTTCTGTCCTGCTACTTCACACACAATCACAAAATATTGAGTTCTGCTTGCGACCAACAGTACAATAAGAAGAGATACTCAATTTATCATTACATATAGTAAGGAAAGCATAAATCTTCATAAATTAGAAATTGGTTTTATGGCATATTTCTTAGAAAATACTTAAAATATGAATCAATTATTTGTTCAGCTCTTGACAGCATCTTCTTTGATTAAAATGCAAGGTGGAAATTGAAACGGCATCCAATAATAATAATTGAATGATGATAATAACACTTAAAAATGTGTCTACTCTTGTTACAGAATCTCCGGTTTCTACAAAGGGATCCTTCCTCCGATTGTCGCGGAGACACCAAAGAGAGCAGTCAAGGTGAAATGAAAGACACGCATATTGATTCATAGAAAACCACACAACTTCAGGTGCAACGCTCCAGTTGTAGTGTGAACTACCGAATAAAAACAGTCTGACCACAGGTTGCTTTAACATGGCACACACACGCTGATTAAACAAAATGACATGTCTGCCTCCTCAGCCACTCCTATTTGTACTATTCCTACTAAATATTGACTTACAAGCAGTTAGAGCAAGTCTTCCCCTTGAGCCTCCATTTATTGATATGTGTTTGTAGTAGGGCTGCTCGATTATGGCAAAAATCATAATCTCGATTATTTGGGTCAATAATTGATATCACGATTATTAAAAACGATTATCCATTTACTTTGAAAACATGAATTTATTGGAGAATTTTTTTTAACAGTATGTTTTTAACAGTTGATTACCCTGAACTTTAAGTATAACTCAACTGAAAAACCAATAAAAAAAAATTAAAAAAATTAATTAAAAAGTAATAATAAAAAAGTAATCGTTTTATTTCGATTACGTTGTTTTCGTAATCGTTACAAGCCATAATCGTGATTAAAATACGATTAATTGAGCAGCCCTAGTTTGTAGGAAGACTTACAACATGTAATTGGGGTGAGGTAGGGGGGATAAAAGGGAGCCTGAAGCCTGGCATGGAGCTGCTCTGTAATGAGATACTGGACACGGGTATGTGTGAACTTTAAAAATAAGCACACACACTGAGAAAATGGGGTAATTGCTCACACAGTGAACAAAGCGCAGCAAATTAAAGCTCCGATTAAAACGATAGTTACGTATGTAACTACGGTTCTATGAATACTGGATGACCGCCAGAGGCGGTGCTTTAGCACTGGATATCTTCCGTCTCGCGCATGCGTAGGTCGAATATTTATATCAATAAAGTCACGTGTGACCTCGTATGACCCCGGAAGGCATAAGTTCCGGTGTTGTCAACGAGTTCAGTCCTATGGAATCTTCTCGCGGAAACACGAGATTCCGAGTGACCAAGAAACTCTGGCGGTCATCCATCCAGTATTCATAGAACCGTAGTTACATACGTAACTATCGTTCTATTTCATCCTTACTGACCGCCAGAGGTGGTGCTTTAGCACTGGATGACCTATACCAACAGAGTCACGAGGAAGTCTGAATACTCCCCCTGCTATAAGGATGGCCTAGGCTAGAATGAAGCAGTGCGTCTACCAGGAGCGGGGGCGAGAACACCGCGCTCACTGGTTGAGTTAATAGCGAATGCCAGATGCAGCGTAGGCGGGAGCGGGGTGCGAGAACACAGCCTTCACCAGCTACCTGCTGAACGGAAAGAGTAGAGCAACGCTCCTACTCGCCGAACACAAAAGGGATGTAACTACACCCATGTTACCAGCAGAGGGAGCGGGAGCGAGAGCACTGCCTTCACCTAGCTGAAAAAAAAAGAAGTTTCAGCAGGACAGCCTATCCAGTCGGCTGCTGCTAGAATAAAGCATCACGTCTACCAGGAGTGGGGGCGAGAACACTGCTTTCGCTGGTTGAGTGACAGTGTCCAGAGCCACCCCAATGAAGGTTAAGCTCTGAGAGGGGTTCAGACAACTCTTCTCCATGTTCACCATGAGGCCTAGCCGGGCGACATGAGAGAGAAGGAGAGCCGTGTCCTGGATCGTCTGTAACCGGGATGGTGCAAAAGATTAACCAGTCGTCTAAGGAGAGGGAGAGTCCGAATGGAACACCCTCAACTGGAAATGACGGCCTCTGAAGGCAAAGCGAAGAAACTGCCTGTGATGAGGCACAATAGGCACATGAAAATAAGCGTCCTTCAAGTCGACGGATGTGAACCATTCCCCCCTGGCCACGGTACGAAGAACGTCCGCTGTGCTCAGCACATGGAAAGGTAAAAGGCTGTGAGATGGGGTCCACAGGCTCGATTGCACCCTTGGCAAGGAGGACTGACAGCTCCTGGTTTAGGGCGATTTCTTTTGCCAGGTCGCTTATGGTGGTCATCTTGACCCGGCTGAAGACTGGGGGCCAGCGTCGGATCTGAAGCTTGTACCCTTGGGTTAGGTGGAAACCACACAGGGGTCTGAAGCTTGAGCTACCCGGTAGTTGAGCTGCTGCTGGGAGAGATAACCAACAGCCGGCCCCAGACCCTCAGTACCTTGCCCCCCGGCCTCTGGCTCTGGGGGGGCGACGGTTAGGCACCGGATACCGAGGCTGCCTTGGGGGCGAGTTAACAGGACCGTAGCGGGCCAGCCCCCTCGTGGGGCGCTGAGGCCCATGGTGGGCACCGGGGTGAGCCGGTGGACGGAGAGTCCTACATGTCTCTGATAAGGGTGACTGTGTCAGCCAAACCTGGCGACGAGTCTGGACGAGAGTGGACATCAGGTGCCCAAGCTCTCTTGACATCAGAGCGAACGCCTGTAATGAGGCGTCACTGAGGCTGGTAGAGGAAGCGCTAAGAGCATCCTGCTGCGGGGAAGCTGAGAGGGAGAGCATGAGGTGAGAGAGGGAATTGCCTATAGGCCCATGCGCGCCACTGCATCGTAAGCCTTAGTGAGCAGGTCATCAGTAACCCGACATTGGAGTCGAGGGCACCTGGCCTCCGACCTCAGAGCTTCGTCAGGAGAAACTATGAGGGAGGTAATGGAAGGCTCAACAGCCGGCGTGTGGTCAAGGCCAACTCTTGCCGCATCCTGCATGGCTGCCAGGGCTCGGCCATCGGACGTTAGACTGTAAAGAGCCTTAGTGTCCTCCAGCATGCATGTAACTTCCTCAGATACTCACAAGAGGGAGGAACAGTAAAGGTTGCGAAGAGTGCGCCTAAAGAACACACTGGCAGGCGCTGTTTCGGGCTGCTGCGCATCCAGCTGCTGGTGAGGCAGTGCCATGCGAATGACGGTACCCATGGAGCCGTCATCTGCCTCCTCCGAGGGACCATGAGCTGAGGTACAGGAGCCAGGCCCAGAAGCATGGGATGGGCTCTCCCCGTCATACTCATCAAATTGAGTGGCTGAAGCTGCCATCGAGAACACATCGTCATCTAGAACCAGCTCAGCTACGGGTGGGCAGCGGCGTGCTCTGCACGGGCACCAGAATGGAGAGCCAAGAGGAGTGACTTCATCTGGGCTAGCTCAGTAGTGAGTAGGTCCACCCTGGAGGACAGCCTATCAGGCTTAGTCCTCTTCTTGGGCGGTGCACCTGCAGCCTCTGCGGCCCAACGCCTAGGATGGGTAGGTTGGGCTGTGCAGAGTCGACTGTGCAGGGGGAAGGCCACCCTCAGTCAGTAGTTCAACCTCGGCTAGTCTAGCAGCTGCCCCAGGATGAAATAGAACGCCTCTTCTGGCGCTTTGTCCTTTGATCAGATAAACAAATGACTATGAGCGTTATGTGTTTCCTTCTCAGAAGTGTTTCTTCCCACTGAGAATGTAATCCAAGGTTTACACTACTGTATCATTTTAATGTGCTAGTTTGGTTAATCCAAGGCTCACCTAAATTGCCCTTTGTTCCGAAGTGTCTTTTAAGGTAGCTGCTTCTGATAGTGTGCATATGTGGTTGTGTAGAGGTGTACATTTAAAACATGCTCTGTGACTTTCTGACAAGTAATTTGTTCTGATATTCCCTCTGCAGTTTTTCACTTTTGAGCAATACAAGAAGGCGCTGAGTTTGACCCCTTTGTCTGCTGGTGTGGTGAGTCTTTACACACAGAAACACCTGAACACACTCTCACCTGAAAAATAAACACACACAAGACCAGGAAGTGCGTTACACCCTGTGTCGGAAATCAACATATCGGCTCATCTGCCAAAGGCTGGTTAAACAAAGACTAATGCCAAGAAAAATATCACCAATCACCCAGTTATTGTAATTGTTCCCGTCATTGCAGATTCATGTAAACCTAGAGAATTTACTGCACTTGCTTTTCTTTCTTTCTTTTATGAGGCTATTCACCTGTTGACCCTTAACCCTGCATATTAATAATAATAATAGCTTAGATTTATAAATTGTTGTTATATATACAATTTGAATCATGGCAGCTTTACTGACCAAACAGAAGGTCATCTCACATTAGACAGGACAGAATGTAAACATCTCGAGTGGGGATTAAGTGAAGACGTATACATAAAGCGACATCATTTTGTTAAGCCCAAATGAAAGCAGTGTTGATGCAACTCACACATTTAATGAACTTATAATAACTTAATTAAGGTATACAAAAATAACAAACAACAATCCATGAACCAACTTCAATAACTATCCATATGGAGAAAACCATATACGGTATTTTATGTTGAGCAGGATTATGGTGTAAGAATCAATCCAAGTAATTTGTGTTACTTGGAAATCTCGGTTTAATTTTTAATTGAAAGGGATTTATATTAAAATAAAGATGTGAGCAACCAAAACCGTTTTTACATCTGAAATTAGTTTGTCGAGTCATTGTTTGATTTCAAATCCAGTGTGCTTGAGTGAAGCCAAAGTAATTGCAAACAAAACTCCAATCAAACAGACTCAAGTCTATGTTTGCTTGGAGATTGTTAATTCCAGAGAATGGTTACAACTCAGGCCATGAATCAACAAGCGGTTTCATCCATCTCCACCAATCTGGTTTCTGTTAGAGTTCCACGGTAGACGGATCCACGTTACCGGGGTGCGGTCACCACACACAGCCTATTCAAGTGGCAGCCAAGTGTCAGTGTGATTGAGCGCTTACCTGGAACTCGTCTTGTTTTTAAAGCCATTGGTGGAGAAATATTTACCTGTCCCATCCATCACGCTCTCCACCTCCTCCTTCTATCTCCTCGTCGTCCTCTGCCTCAAGTGCCTCCATTTCCCCTAGAGACCCCTGCGTATCAAGTGCCGTAATCACATCAGATCATTAGTGCAAGGGAATTACACATTGCTGCTGACTGGCTCCCTCTCTCTCGTCTATTCAGCGGGGCACAGCTGAATGTCCTCACTCTGATTAATGAGGACACACACAGTAATAATACAAATAAGGAATTAAAAAGTGGCTGGCTGGCTGTGTAAACATTGTGAGGCATGTCTGAGAGGATGGGTCCCGGGGCCCTGACAGCAGGACAAAGAGGCAGGAAGAGTAATGAGCTAAAGACACGTTCTTGACATGTTCCCATTACGCTTTTCCGTGAGCATGCACCCACACACTCATATACTGCCCCATGCAAAAACATGCCGTGTTGCAACATCCATGATTATATAATTACAAGTCAGGGTTATACATTTATAAATAGCCAGTATTCTTGTTACCTCTTTGGGTGGCACATTAAAGTGCTGTGATTACAGGAAAATAAGTGATTATAAGTTGTTTTTCACCGAACTTGAATTGAATTTTTTCCGACTTTCTAATGATGAATCTTTAACAGCCTGTTTTCACAAATTCCTTTTTTCTCCCTTTTCATTCACCTTCCTATACCTCCTGTCTGTCATCTCACATTCTGTCAAATTATAAAGCACACAGGTGTCTTGTGTGTTTTCATTAGTCAAACAGCAACAATGACAAGGCGTGACAGAAACAAATGTCCATTTTAAACGAGTCTTTTGTCTCGGGGAACAAGTTCCTGAAAGCGAAACTCTGATTCAGCTCTTGTAGCTCGGACACGTTGAAAATACTCCTCTTTGTCTACATACATTTTTCAATTCTTCTCTGTCTCAACCCAAATATTATCTTCTCATACTAAATCATGTCCGTCTTCCCTCCAGGCGCTCTCTGTAGCAGGGCTCGGCGCAGGCTTGACTGAAGCAGTTGTCGTCAATCCATTTGAAGTGGTGAAAGTCAGTCTCCAGGCCAACAGAGACGCCTTCAAAGAGGTTGATACAAATAAAACTCTGTGATGTGTTTCTACAGATGGGGTTTTTCGTCAGCATGTAAATATCCTTCTTTTTAATTCATTCTCTCCAATTCAGCAACCGTCTTCCTTCGCTCAAGCAAGACGCATAATTAATGCGGACGGATTCGGACTGAGGGGCCTGAATAAAGGACTCACATCGACGCTGGGACGCCATGGAGTTTTCAACATGATCTACTTTGGCTTCTACTTCAATGTCAAGGATGCTATTCCTACCAGCCCGGTAATAATCCAACCAAAATCTGTGATCACATCCCGGCCTCAAGTGCTGGAAAACAATTGCAACCTAAGTTTCAGACAAACCAAACTGTGTGTTTGTAGTCTTGACTACACTTAATTTCCCCTAAGTTCAGGCTATATGATATGCACGTGTCCCAGCCACCTCGCCTGTGGGGGAATGCAAGTGTTTGACAGAATGATTAGTTAGCCTGACTGCCATGGAGAGGAGGAAACAGAAATCAGAGAAGAGCTTGTAAGATCAGCCTCGCTAATACCTCGTCTGTTTGCTCGTCATAACATCCTCAAAGTCTCAGATTACACATCCGGCAGCGCCTGATGTCCCAAACAAAAGTTAATTTTGTTTAATGGAAACGTTACCATACGCCAGTTCCACATGTACAAACCGGAGCATTAGATTAACTCCAATGAACTAATTGGAAGCAGACAACGGTACCACTTTCAAGAGAAAGTTACAGTGGGTGCCCAAGCGCTGCTATATTCAACATTTTTCCAGTGACGCATGTTATACAGAGAAGCAAGTGGTCATCGTCTGAATGATAATTATGTGGCTGGATGACCCAAATAGCTCTCTTCTGAGACTCTTTCGGGAATGATCCATCGGTATGTACGGTGATGGAGTGATCTTGTTTGTGAGAGGCTAACAGCATCTATTGTTGAGGCAGAAAAGGATAAATACTGCGGCCTCCGTCAGTTTACAGGCAGAGCTGATTATGGCATTTCTCCAAACCCCCTTTGTCCGCAAAATGAGCGATGGGCTTGCAACTCAAACGTGTCCATATTCAAATTGAACTGTCCGAGCTCAGGCATCTCTCCACCTCTATTTTAACAGTACAGAGGTGGCAGATAGCACACTGCCATCATTCACAAGTGAATGTGTGAGGAGATGTTTGCTTTAGGCTGTTAGGAAGTGGGTTGATGGGTGTACTTAGGCCGAGGGTATGTTACCCCCCTTCCCCACATCCCACTTAAAAAAAACTGAAGAAGTGGGATTAGCTGTTGATTTACCTCGGCTCTCAGGGTGTCCAGCCGCTTGAGAAAGGCCTGGACCAGAGAGGCTGCTGTCATTTGTAAAAATATCCCGGCCAATTAGCTGTCAGAGCTCTCTGAGTCTGGGCTTCTTTGGTACAGTAATACCCCTGTGCCGAGTCACAGCCCAATTACCCAAATTGTCCCCATATGCCTCCCCAGTCTGCCTGCTTGCACCCTGTTTATAAATCCTCGGTCTTGGCTCTCCCAAAGAACATGTGCTTCTGTTCAGCCAATCAGAACACTGCACCACAGCCAGGAAGCACTAATCTGCCCCCCGCTACCATAAAATGATCAGGGCTTTCATGCCAGCTTTGCAATCATATGCGCAAGCCCCCTCATTCTCTGCCCCACTTTCGCTCACATATACATAATGTCTCACGATTCACTTTGTCAACTCTGTGTTACTACTACTGCTCTCAGTTTTATTTACTATTAATGCCTTTTGCAATGATTCCTGACACCTGGTGCCCTCTCTAAAATGTGCTTGTTGAACCTTAATACTTTATTTGAATCATGTATCTCTTCTTCGCCAGGACCCTACTCTGGAGTTCATGAGGAAGTTTGCTATCGGCCTGGTGTCTGGGACCATCTCTTCCTGCGTGAACATTCCCTTCGACGTAGCCAAGAGTCGCATCCAAGGCCCCCAGCCCGTGCCCGGAGAGATCAAGTACCGCACCTGCTTCCAGACCATGGCTCTGGTGTACCGGGAGGAGGGGTAAGTGAAAGCAGGGATAAATAATTTATCATCAGTATATTAAAAATGGAAAGAAAATGGTCACAGATGCATCCAAGAATTAATGAGGCACTCTGTTTGCCTTGTTAGCAATGAATAGTTGGTTATCTGCCAAAGTGGCTGTCAAAAAAGACAAATGTAGCAGCTGCAGCTACAAGTTAGCACGCTTGCTGCAGTGTGAGTTTCCTGCGCCAGCTACAGTGGAAGTGCATGAACGGCTTGATGCAAAGCTGTGATCCGAGGAAACCAAAGGGTGACGTTACATTGCGGGCTGTATTCCCCACGTGTGTGATCATACATCTCTGCAGTCTGTCAGAAGTACAGTAAACGTTAACATATTTTTGAGCCTCAGAGAATGGCAGCTCTAAATGGAAGCTTCAAGAAAAAGATGTATGTTATGTTAGCAATTGCCCCAGGCTCTCCACTTTCCCCCACGCAGCTCCACTAGACAAGGGCCAGCGAGATGTTTGTAGTTAGTGGACGCAGGAGCCTCGGGGGCTGCTGCAGGAACGGCACTGAAACGCTGTCATCGCAGGGGTGCGTCGAGGGTGCCCCCTCCGCCACATCCAGTCCCCTGCTCTAACACAACACAGTCCCAGCTAATTAGTGGTCCCTATGGGAGACGTCGTTAAGCAGACCCTAACGAGCCGCGCGGCGCTCCACGGGTCAATCTAATCAGACAGAGGGCCAGGGAGGAAGTGGGTCGAGCCTTATTAACGCCATCAGTGGCGGGGGCAGGGAGCGGGACAGGGAGCACGAGGCGGAGGCAGCCAGCCACTGATCACCTTGAATGCATTAAGGGGCAGGTACTCGCCACTGCTGGCCGTTAGACCCCAAATATGTACCTGACGGGGTGAGAGACAGACAGGCAGACAGACAGGAAAGAGCTCACCCCCACTCTCAGCCTACACACACGGACAGTATGGATAGAGAAGTGTTCTCTTGACGGAATTTACATGTTTGGATTTAACTGTGGTATTTTGTGTTTGCACATTATTAAAATCCTCTTTTTCCTACAGGTACCTGGCGCTTTACAAGGGGTTGGTGCCCAAGATAATGAGGCTTGGACCAGGTAACAATAAAAAGCTTTATATACTAACATAAACATTTCTTTATAATCACAAGTTGTCTTTTACAGCAGATGAAAAGAGTTCAACTAGACCTTCAAGTTTTAGTTTGAATCATTTTTAGATTGGTAGACTGAAATGTATGGAGGTTTTTCAAAATCTCAGTTTATTAATATAGACAGAACCCCCAAGTCATGTTACTGTTAAAATACACTTTGAATGACTGAGTGCACTATTTCCCTCTCTGATGTCTTTGTTCTATCTATATTTAACTGTGTACTCAAGTCACAAAAATGTAAAATCGATGTTTTGCGTACGTTTTTTAAAAATATTTATAGAATTGAAAGGCAACATTGCGAGTTAGAACCACTGCCTACCCAACTTCTATTTGAAAATGTACCCATCTTTTTATTTTGTATCTGTAATATTCCTTTGTGTTTCCCAGAAAGTCCACACGTGACACTAAAACTCGGTTTCTATTGGTTGTGTAGCTCTCGCTGTTTATTCACTAGCAGGGAAATAGGTGTTGATTCACTGTGGTTTCTCTTCTGTCGGGTTACAGGTGGAGCAGTGATGCTGCTGGTCTATGAATATGTGTCTGGATGGCTACAGAAGAACTGGTAACAAACCAAAAAACACAGAAAGAAACCAAAGAGAGTGCCTTATGGATTTTACCTCATTGCCAATATTCTTAAATGACTCTAACGTCAGACCAAATTAGTTTTTTTGTTAGTTTGTTTTTTCTACATTGAATACACAATTTTGCAGAATAATACCAACTCAGAAACAATATATTTTAAAATGAAGCTTTCTGGGTAAAAACGTAATCATCTAAGTTGCCTTCTCAGGAATTAAAAACAGCTGCAATACCAATATTGACATTTCAAGAGGATTTAACAGTGAGTTTTAAAGGACCTGAACACATATTTTCTCAATCAATTTTCTACTATAAGTCCTACAATAATACAATACTTGAAATTAGGGCTGAACGATTAATCGATTTTAAATCGAAATCCCGATTTTAAATTATGCAATTATCAATGCGCAAAGCCTGCGATTTTTTTCTTTTATTATTTTTTTCTTTCTTCTTCTTGTGTGTCAGTCATCCACACCAATCAGAAGTGGCCCATGATAGAAGGTGATAGACAGATTGATCCAATCACCTGCCAAGTATTTTTGAAATACTTTTCCAAATGGCTTCCAATGGAGCTTTCCTAGATAGTTTGGTGAAACCATATGAGTCAGGTTAGCAATGCTCCATCACATGTTTTACATCTATTACAGGGTGAATCTCAAACTGAAGCTCGACTTTAAAGCAACCCAACGGAAGTTTCATGTAAGTTTAGTTCTTTCACTCGTAGCTCGGGCTGCGGGGCTGCTAGAGACGGGAGCATGTTGATGCGACCTTCCTAGTCGGAGATATGGCCACATTTTACAATAAACTTCCGTTGGGTCGCTTAAAAACAAATATCGCAAATCGAATCGCAATATCTGTCAGAAAAATCGCAATTAGATTATTTCCCAAAATCGTGCAGCCCTAGTTGAAATGCAATACAGATTTAGAACGGTTATTGATATTTCACATGTTGTGCTTTATGTCAATTCAGAGCTACACCTCATGAGCTTTGAGTTGTGTGAATGTTTGTTTTGGTGTAGTAGCTTATTTAGTCAAAAAACGAAGTTAAAGTTACATTGCTTATTATAGAAAACTGGCTTTCAGTGGGTCTAATTTTAAGTTTCAAATTAAATACAACATGAAGAATTAAGTGAAGGCAATTTACAAAGGATTTACGAAATATAGTATAGACTTTCATTTTATAGATGCACAGTACATGTTTTATGAATTATATGAAGAAACAAAGACTTACCGAGTTCACACGAGTCTCACTTCAAGATGTTCCTATACAATACACACTTTTCGTGTTAACATCTCCATATACAACAATGTATACGTGATTCCAAATATATACTGTGTTCGCGCCTATATTACTGAGCCTTACTGTAATCATTCATGCAGGAATACTTTCTTATACATTTCTACTATAGGCCTATTGCAGAACCTTTTTAATGAATTTATTGTTGCATGACTGATCTTTTATTTTCATTTCTTAAATTAGATTAGTATGAAAACTATTATTAGTAAGAAATTGTGTTCACTTTTTCTCCTGATGTGGAATGTTAGCATTTGTTAAAAAGTGACTTGAAAGATTTGGTTAAAAATAAAGAAAGAATCAAATTAAACTTCCTCTGTCTGTGTGTTGTGTTTCTGTCTGTGTGTTTAGTACTTTTTCGTCCTGTCAGTTTGATGTTGTTCCGTGTTTGTCTCTCACTGGGAGCGTTCCAGCTTGGCATTGATACAAGCGTATCACTTTACCTCACTTTACCACTTCTCCACCTTCCTCCTCCTCCTCTTCTCCCCTTCTCCCCTCCATCACAGCACTCAGTTGTTTGAGAAGCTGTCAGCTGCTGAAGTTGTATTAACCGACCGAGTGTCAGCCGGGGAGTCGCTGCCTGAGCGTAGCTTTAGTGCAAGCTAAAACAACAAGCTCAAGAAATGCAAATGTACTGCAGGAATGGGGGGCGGGGGCCGGGGGTTACCGCACACATTCTCTCACTTTGCCAGTCTATCTCTTACACAAATATGCACGAACAAAAACACACACACACACACCTGCTGCACAGCCTTCAGGGTAGGCTCATCTTAACCTCATCTGGTAGCGGCTTACACTGAGCCACGTTGGCATTTGACAGTCATCATTAATGTGGGAGTCTCTCACTGCCAATATGGAGCGGCTCCCGGTTCTCTGCCCAGGGGCCAGTGGTGATAGACTAACAACTGCGGCTTGCAGACTGATTGAATTGTAAGCACTTAACGTGTCCTTTCGGGTAAAGGAGGGCTGGATGTGTATGTTTGGTTCTGACCTGACAGCTTGCTGCGTGTATTACCAGGTAGCTTAGCAACAGAGCCACCCCTCACCTGAATTCCCTGCACACACCGCGCCGATCATAAATCTCCAGCAGCAAAGTCCCCCATCTCCTCATTTTCTTTACACCCTTTCCATGCGTGTTCCTCGTCTCCGCCGGTTACATTTCAATTGAGTGGCTCCACTTTGACGAGCCTGCAATTTAAACATGGCCGTACCTGTCTTTCCCGCTGTGGTTAATGATTAATATACATTCAAATGTCCAGGATAACATGTGAAAAGCAGTGATTCATGTCAGAGTGATTGGACATGGGACTGAGTGTGTGCATACCAAAGACACTGCTCCAGACATGTTGTGATTTTCCCAGCCCAGTCTTTTCTTTTTAAGAGGTTTTACTCACCTGTGTGCTCAGCGTTGCTGTTTTAAGGAATTAAGAAAACATTCTGGCTGTTGTCAGCTTCTTTTAGAAATGTCCATGGAGCAGAAACACACTCTCACCCTGCTCTCTGCTCTGTGTTACTCTGCAAATGGCTGTCTTGTTTCTGATTGCATGTGGAGAAGTAAAGATAACCATATGACACTGAAGTCAGACTCAACATCATTAATTATAAACACGTGTCTGCATCTATTTTTAAAACTTTTAGACCCTAGCCTCCATTAAAGCTGACCAACATTAGACTACAAGAGCAAGGATTATTAGACCTTCGAGAAGCTTTTCCTCCCGTCTAGAAAACACACTGTTCCTATTTTTTAAACACTGGTGTCAATTAAAACGACCACATTTTAATTTCGTTGCATGACTCAGAGGAGGCTAACAAGACTGTGCTCAATTCTTGTAGCTTAGTTGAAAGGAAAAGTTTAGCCTTGTAGGCTTGTAGGCTGAGGTAAAAAAGAGCATGTAACATCTTTTTCATGCCACTCCGAGAGTTAACCATCATTTACTGTACATGATGGATGGTGCATGGTGAATGGGTGGCTGCTACAGCGAGTGTATGATCATCACGTCCCTGTGATGTGGTTCACATACGGTCAAAGAAACACTACGATCCCTGAGCAACGGTCCGTGACCACTGGCTGCGGGGAAGAGTGCTTTCCAAGTCAAATCAGCTCCTGCTAAGGGAGGACTGTTGACACTGTCACATGCAGGGCCTGTTTACGCTGCTGCACCCCCCCTCTGCAGCAGGTAGAGTTATGTAAAAGAGCAGGTGAGCAACATCAAGTTATTAATATACAACTTCAAGCCCAGTTTGGTTTTCACTGCGGGACTAGACAGGTCTTGCTAGACACACTTGTGATTTATTACACTGACCCCCCTTAAAAGTATTTTTGCATCATTTTGCAGACATGTCATTTGTAAACCAGGCTGTGTGCTTTTCCTTTTGTAATTAACATGTTGGGTCGGCCCTGGGGAGCCCTGTTTGGGCCCTGTTTGTGGCGGCTGTAAGTTCGTGTTTGGGTCTCATGTCTGATGACCGAAGAGACCGCATTTGTGCTCTGAGTTCAGCGCCGAGTCTTCGATTCACAGATCTCAAAGTTGAAAGCATCAGCGATGTTCTAATTTATTGTTTTTTATGTGCGCCTGAATCCTTCTCAAATATAACTTTAAATTATAATGTTTGACTATAGACCTTGGCTTTAATTAAATATAGTAATGTTTGACAATAGACCTTGGCTTTAATTAACAAATGCTTCCCAAACTTCCTGATTTCTACAAAAAAAAAATCAAACAGCGAGATTAGATAATATGATCTCTCCATATTTCTGTAATACTAATGTATTTTATATTTTTATACCTCCATTTTCAACCCAAATATCTGCTTCAAACACTACATTTATTGGAGACATTTTAAACAATATAATTGGTATATATTTACACGGTGTATAGATGTAGAAGTACTTAATATAATTTCTTTAAACCATGTACTTCTGCGGGATTGAGCAAATATCCAGGCATACATGTTTATGAAAATAGAAAGGGCCATATGAAGTTATGAGGTGAGTTTATTTTAATGACTTAAGCTATGTGGTGACAAAGCCTGTGTGCGCCCAAAGCATTTCTGATGAACTCTCCTAGTGAGCCGTGACGCTAGGTAATAGAATCACAGGCTTTGTATGAGCGTGCACATATATTATTTATGAAAAGTAGTTTCCTGTTCATGTAAAACAGGCCGGCACGCGACAATATTAGGAATTGACCTATAGTAAGCTACACTGACACTGGGAGGATAATGATATGTCATGTCTTCTCTTAGAATAAAAACTGTTGAGGCAAACTCCATGGAGACCAATAACAGCCAAACAATTTAATAAGATACATTCAATTTCCTTGTGCAACATTTGTCAATTGTTAATGCTCTAAACTCCAACATAAGACCAATGCCAATTTTGTCTAAACATGCGTGGAGATCCCCATGTTGTCTGTAAGGCGAATTGCACTTCATTCAACGTACCTTAATCTAATAAATAAGACTTCTCTCTGGAGCTCTCGCATAGGCTACATTTTTAGAGAAGTTGGAAAATAATGCTCCATAAGGCTTTTATCAAAACGTAACACAAAAAAGCATACAAACATATTTAAAAGAAAAAAACGATAGCAATTATAAAACACCCTGAAACACTAATGCAAAGTTTCCCCCTCTTCTTTGATTGCTTACTCATGAAGTTATACATTACCCCATTTTGCCCAAAGACATTTGCAGAAGTGTGCAGTAAAGAATCTGAGAGGAATTGTGTTGATGGATGGAGTAGCAGTCTTACATCAGTCCTTCAGTACACCTGTCTCTTCTCTCAGAAAACAAGTTTGTTAAAAAAAATAATTTCTGTTTATTCCTTGTGTGTCTTTGGTGTGACTGTGTGTCGCAGGGACAAGAAGGGGGCACAAAAATGGTTCCTGGGGCCGAGTCCTTCATAGAAAGGAGACATAGGGATCGTATGAAGCCGCATGGGACAGACTTGGTGTCTCCTGTCCTCGCCAGGTCTCACTCCCTCCCCCTTCCTCTCCCGCCACTTCACAGTGCCAAGGCCGGCGACTGGGTGGATGGCGTCATGGTGGGCCGTCGTGCCCTTGAAGGCCGAGAAGGCGGCGATGTCACAGTTGTGGGGAGATAGCGCACTGCCACTGCCCGGCTGCCATGTGGGACCGGTCACAAAGGCCGACGTGGTGGCGCTGTACCCCATGTAGGGTGACACTTGGGTGGTGGGAGGGTGGTAGGGAGGGATGCTGGGTGCTGTGACATAGCTGTTCACTGTGGGCAAACCATTCAGCGTCTGGAGACAAGAGAGAGAGAGAAATCTGTGTTAAATGTCTGAAAGGTCACTGGTGACTTGGTGGAAATATCATGTTTTGTGTTTTCCGTGTTGTAGTTTTGCTTGTCAAAAAAGGACAATATTTGACAGAAGACAATTTTTAGCTACATTATTTAGTGACCCCCAATTCAAGAAGACACACACAAGCAGCTGAGTTATAATTGAAAAAATCTGAGGAAAAGTGAAAGGAATAGTGATTGAATTATAAACGGCAGAAACCTTAAATTCAAACTTCACAGCCACCACATAAAAAAACAATTTCCCCAATTTTGATGAAAGTATGAATGATCAATTCTGCTCTCTCCTGATCCTGGAACATATTAAACATAGATAAAAACCATACATGCATGATTACCCCTCTGTCTAAGGGACTTGTTTTCTGCCCAGAAGGGGACGTTTACTCCGCCGGCGTTGATATAGCACGTCAGACGATGGGAGACAGGGTGGTTGGGGGCGCCACAAAACAGATGTCATGAGAGATTGAGAGTGAAAGGCCAGGAAGAAGGGAAATATGATAGAGAACCAGGCGAGCATAGGATTCGGAGAATGAATGGGCTTTGCTTTTCTGGCACAGTGACAGGACCTAACTTGAGGAATTCACCAAAGCATTTCAACAGGGAGGCCGAATTGCTGTTCCTGGGTGGTCTGCGACTACTGAGAACTATTTCTAAAATTCTGATCATTTCTGTGTTTGTTGACCTATTTTTATTGACTGCCAGAGTTGCCGGCTTTTTGCTCAAAATATATATGAATAATTTGCTCCAAGCTGACATTTGTGGTGATTTATAAAGCTAAACCATAGAGAGAAAGCAGTTGTGTGTTTGTGCGCCTGTGGGTTTCTGTGTTGGGTACTTGTGGGGCTCTGTTTGTGTGTCTTCACTTGGCTCACCAAAACTGAATCTTATTTTAGAAATAGCCACACAGACTTTGAGCTGCGTTGAATTCTTTTTTTTTTAAGTCGGTTGGAAAAATGTTAAATAACACAAAAAATTGACATCTTCCCCCAACTA